GTGGCCAATCCATGCCGTGGATAAACAATCTATTTCTATGACATACTGGATCAGGCCCACGCCTCCTTCTTGCCTGTCCGCATCAAGGGATACGTGGACGATATTACTCAGACGCAGCAAGGATCCCGCGAAGAGGATCCCGCAGGACGCTGTGCCACGGGCTGGAGGCTGCAGGCGCATTCATTGCAGACAAAAGTACACTTTTGGTTCCCCACAGAGAGCTCGGAGCCGAGATCATGCAGATGTTCTCTTCAGTCAACCTACCTATTCAGTGGAGAGACTCGGTCCGAGATCTGGGGGTCATGTCTTCTGCAGGACTCCGCCGAAATATGAGCAAGTTGCGACAGCGGCGTGCTATCGCCTATCGGAAGAGTAGGAAGGTGCAGTTTTTAAGTCGGCTGGTCGGCCGAGCGAGCAAGCTGTATAAACCTGGGGTCCTGGCCGTGGGGTCGTGGGGCCATGAGGTCTTGGGGCTTTCTCCTGGTCAAGTTAAGTCCATGCGCGCTCAGGCTGCCGCGTGCTCTGGGTTGTGGGCCCCAGGTGCCTGTACCGCTACCTTACTTGGCTTATTAGGGGATGCGAAGGATGACCCCCAGTTTAGGCTTTGCTATGAACAGCTTAATGGTTGGGCTTTATCTTGGGCGGATCTTGATCATAAATCGCGCAGGTTGTGTTCTGAGGTTTGGAAGAATATATTTACCAAGATGGATCAGACCAAGTACCGTTGGCAGGTAGTTAGAGGGCCGATGGCGGCCACTATTGCTGTACTGCGTGACATTGGCTGGCAGGCAGAGTCACCAGTGTATTGGCGCGCAGAGGATTCGGTTTCAAGGCTGAATGGTGGTGATTTCCCGTTCCAGCTTTGGGGTGCCCTTTTGAGGGCGCGTTCTGCTGCGTACCGGGGCCGAGCTTCTAAGCGCTTTTGTGTTGCGGGCCTGGAGAGAGGAGTTGCTTTTACCCCTGTGCGAAGATTCTTGGCCAAGCTTGCCCGAGACGGTGAGCGCGAGTCGGCGGGCATACTGCGTAATGTGCTCATTGCCGCTTCATGGCCTGAAGAGCGATTGCATGCTGCTGGGTACGTTTCTGATAGTAATGGGCTTTGCGGAAGATGTGGTGAGGCCCCCGAGTCCCTGTTGCATCGGTACTGGCAGTGTGCGTGCAATCGAGATATCCCTGGCTACACGATAGAGAATACTGATTCCTTGGCTCCCAGGGCCGTTGCGGAAAACGACAAGCTGAGTCTTTGGTGTCGGGGGCTCCGGTCGTTGGGCGACTCCTTAGGGCACCTTCCCCCTCCGCAGCGTTTGGTTTGGGATTGGGGGCGGTGCGTTGAGGGGGAGCTCATGCGTGATGGCGTTTGGGGTGTTGATGGGTCTGGAGGCAAATGCTCGAAGGATTGGAGACTACGTCGGCGTGGATGGTCCTTCGTGCACCTCGGCCCAGATGGTAGGATAGATGCGGCTCGGTGTGGGTCCTTGCCGCGTGCGCGCCAGTCTTCGCCAAGGGCAGAGCTCTTTGCATTGATCGAACTGTTGCGAGCCAGCGTTGGAGATGTACGAGTTTATTGTGATTGCCTCTTAGTCGTGAAGGGGGCGAGGAAAAGCTTACGGGCCCTGAGGAAGTCTAGCATGCTGGACCTGTGGGCTGAATTTCATAGGGTGCTCTCCGAGCGGAAGGGCTCTCTCCGACTGATCTGGGCCAAAGGGCGCCCCGCCCGAGCCCGGGCCGAAAACATGTTTTTGTCTGATGTAGAGGTGTATTTGAATAAGGCGGCTGACCGCGTTGCTGATTGGGCTGCCGAGAAGGCCCAGTTGGACGAGGATCTTGTTTCTCTTATTGTGCGGGCTGATGGGCTCGCCGTTCAAGTTTTAAAAAGAATCCTCGCTGTCCAGCGTGAGGTTTTGTTTTCCTCGGATCGTGAGAGGAAGGGGCTCCGCGAGCCTCGGCGAACTCGAGGGGTTGTCTCCTCTCTGTCTGAGCGTGTTTGTAGGTTGAGAGATGCAGGGCACGATCCCCTTGTGCGCAGGGCCTGCATCAAGTGCATGCGATGTGGGCTGAGCCATGGCCTGAAAGGCCAACTTGCGAGCTTCTGGCCCAATGCATGCAAGCCCCGTTGTATCATTCAGCGGCGTGTTCAGCTGCTTGTGCCGCGGGAGGAGAGGGGTGACGCTGGCGCTGACCCCGCCTCTGATTGCCTGGGGCCGTCGGACCTGTGTGGGGGTGCCCTGGACCACCCGTTGGCCGACCGATGTCACCCCTCCCACCGACTGTCGGTGCAGCGAGGAGTGCTGTTCTGCACGGTTTGTGGAGGATTTTGCACTGTCGCCCCTTCCCGCATCTTGAATGGAGTGTGCGGAGACCCCGCCCGAGGGCCATGCCCCTCGAAGGCGGGACGTGAGGTGCTCTCGCGCCTATCCAGGGGCCTGCCTCCAAAGTCGGGCACTGCGTTCCCTGATCTTGCATGAATGTGTTTGTGCGGCCTGCCTAGAGCAGGACCCCCGCCTTATATATATATATATATATATATATATATGTATATGTATATGTATGTGTATATATATATATGATATATATATATATATAATATATATATATATATATTAGAATTAGACTTCTCCGTGGCCTTAGCACTGGGCCGCTGGGCGGGATGCCCCAAAGCGGCGCCATGGCTTACTGCCGGCACCGGGGCGCGCATGCCACAGCGTACTAGCAGCCGGCGACTATTCCCGGGTGTACAGACGGGTCCTTGAGTGGCTTCTTTACCACAGACCCGCTTTGCTTTCCAGTCGGGGTCTTACTGGCCGCCCCAGGGTGGCGGGTGGCTCCCGCTTTGTGAGGCAGGCTCGCGCGAGCCTGATAGCCGCCGGGGCCCGGACGAGCCCTCGTCCGAACTCGTGCGATCTCTCTCTCTCTCTTGTCTCCTCTCCCCTCCACGCATCTCAGCTCGTCTGCTCTGCTCCCGAGCTCGCTCAAGAGAGCCACTCGGGCACAGAAGAACCGCGCAACATCTCCCGAACCGCCCCCTGAGGCCCGCCCCCGAGCCGACCGAGCGATGGATCGACCGCCCCGGCCGGTCAGGCCACCCCTGGGAGCCGCCCCGAGACCGGCCGTGGCCCGCGGGGGGGGCCTGGTCCCTTCCACCCGCCCGAGCGATCGACCGAGCGTCCTCGACCGACCAGGGTGCCACCCTCCAGGACTTCGCGGGCCGATTCGCCCCCGAGATCGGCCGTGGCCTCCCGGGGCCCTCCGAGCCGCCCGAGCGATCGCTCGGCCGTCCTCGACCGACCGGGGCGCCGCCCTCCGGGACTCGACCGACGCCCCGCGCCCTCGAGATCGGCCGCGGCCCGCGCGCGGTGCCTGGGCCGCTCGAGCCGGCCGAGCGATCGGTGGGCCGCCCTCGGCCGACCAGGCCGCCCTCGAGCGGGCGGGTGCGCCCCTCCCCGGGGAGCGCCCGCGCCGCGCCGCAGGTGCTCTTCCGGCAGTCCTGGTGCGCCACCTGCGCGCCCCGGCGGGTGCCGCTGGAGGCCGGCCTCCCGCGCGCGCACGCGCGCGCACGCGCGCGGGAGCTGCTGGCCGCTGCGCGCAGTGCCTCGCGCTCGCGCGCGCGCGCTGCGGCGCCTTGTGGCGGCGCGGCGCGCTGAGAAGGCAGGGGGGCACTGCTGACCACACCACGCCGACCCAACCCGAAGGTGCCAGACCCCCCCCCCCCGAATGTTGGGTTGGGGTGCGCCGGCTCCGCGGTATTGTCTCGATGTCCCCGAACGCCCCCCAGCTTACCACTGGAGATTGGCAGGCCCAACGGCGACTCGGGGTTGGATTGGCCCAGTCGCCCATTGATCACGCCGGTATTGGCCTGGTACACTGTCCCGCCCAGGAACATGTGGAGTCGCTATCGGGGCCTGTCGCCGATCTATCGGCGATGTGTCGCCGGTCCCAGCTCGATACTTTCCTCGCTCCGGGCGATGTGCACTCGAGGCAACATATTGCCTGCCCAGCAGTGGCCGCTGTCGCTTTTGGACAACCCTGGCTGTTTTGCATCGTACCCATTTTTCGCATCTCCAGAGATCCAATGCCGTGATTTTTCCAATGCGCGGTCCCCCGAAGTCTCGACCCATTCCCCAGGACCGGTTCTTCATCCCGAGTCGTTTTTTTTGAAGGCCCCTGGGCCCTGCGAGGGCCCCTCATAGAGGCCGAAAGCTGAGAAGCACTTCTGTCTTGATGTCTTCAATGCGTTGGATCTCAGGGCCCGAGTCGGGCGCACCAGGAGCTCTTGCACAGCGTGCCGGGTCGCTCTGCAGCGGTGTGGCGGCTCCCGAGACATCCTGCGGCAGACCCGCCGGCTCTCTCAGGGGCTTCCTGCTGCGGGGGAGGGGGCCCCCGAGGCTCTTGTCCTTTCCGTCCGTGGGAGGGCCGCTGCCCAGAGGGAGCCTGGGCTTAAAGTCGGGCGTGTCCCTCTACAGCAGGAAGATGCAAAGATAGTCAGAAAACAGTCCAGGGACGATTCTTGGAGTATTTTCGAGCACGTTTGAGCATTTTGGGGTTATTTTCTATTTTTCGCCCACAATCCGCCTGTAGGGGGACATGCCCGACCTAAGCCCGGGCTCGTCTCCCTCGGCTTCGGTTTCCCTTGTGGCCAGCGTTGCGGAATCTCTCGTGCCCGAGGCGAGGGAGCCCGCGGGGGAAATGATGACCAGGAGAGGGGGTTGTGAGGGGATGGCAGCAGACGGTTTTCCATTCAGTGCCATTCTGTTGTGCCTGCGGTCCTGGAGCGCGGGGGGGTCCAAGAAGCCCTGCAACAACGAGGATGGCCAGGGCTTCGCAACAGCGGTGCCAAAGCCCCGATGGGCCTTCTGCTGGGCTACGTTGTGGCTCAGGAGTACGTCCAGAAAAACGGTAGCAGACACGCGCCACCGCGAGGGGCGGTGGGATGAGGAGGAGGAGGAGGGGGGGCCACAGACATTTTGCCCTCAGCATCCGCCGCGTCTCCCTTGGTGCTCTCGATGGGCGGCAAGGGCAAGGGCGGCAAGCGCCGCGGCGGCGGCGGGCTGGGCGGGGAAGGCGGCGGCGACGGCGGCGGCGAGAGACCCGCGGCGGCCCTCGTCATCGGCGGCCCCCCGGGCGACAATGGCGTGAAGGGAAAGGGCGGCGGCCGCGGCAAGGGCGGCGGCGACGGGCGCGCGCCGAGGCAGGGCAAGGGGCGCGCCAGGGGCGACGCCGGCGGCGAGGACGACGCCGAGGGCCCCAGGCAGCGCTTGTGGGCCTGGGCCACCCAGGTGTTCGATGCTCGTTTTGGGGACCTTTCGGGGGCCTGCGTAATGGATCTGTTCGGCTCAAGTTCGGCTCAACCTCGACCCAACTTCGACTCAGGCTCGACTCCGCTTCGGCTCGGGCTCGACTCGAGCCCGACTCAGGTCCTCCGCGGGTCGACGGACGTTCGACGCGGCCCCGGCGCACGAGTGGAGCGCATGGCTCCAAGAAGGCCCCCGGAGCGAGCGCCTGACAGGTGCTGCAGCGCGAGCCCACGGAGGAGGAGCTCAGCCTCCGCATGGAGGAGACGCCCGTGCCGGCTGGCGGGCGCGGGCGCCCCACCTTCCAGTGCACCGTGGTGGTGCAGCTGCCGCCCGAGGTGGGCGCCGGCCTCGCCACGCGCCCGCAGGGGCCGGTGCAGGGCCGGCCCGCGCCGCGCAAGCGCGACGCCGCCGCCTCGGCCGTGCAGGCGGTGCTCCACGGCTTCGGCGCCGCGCCGCCCGAGGCGCCGCCGCGCGGGGCGGCGCTGGAGGGGCCCGCGCCCGGGGGCGCGCGGCAGGTGTCAGAGGAGGAGGAGGAGGAGGAGGAGGAGGAGGAGGAGGAGGAGGAGGAGGAGGAGGAGGAGGAGGCAGGGTACACCCATGCCTCTGCCCTCCCCTCGTTCTCTCCTCTTGGGGCCTCCTGGGCCTCCGTCGTCGCCACCGCTGGGTTCGCCTCGGAGTCCTGGTCAGAGCGCACCCCAGGGGAGGTCCAGGGAGTGGCGGTATCGGTGCCATCTGGTTTCCCCTCAAGGTGGACCCCGCGAAGGCCCGGGAGCTGCTGCTGGCCTGGCTGGTGAAGGTCCACCGGATGCCGCCGGAGCTGGCGAAGACGCAGGAGCCGATCAGCATCGTTGGAGCAATCCCCATCCCCACCAGGCCGTGGCATCTCAGCCCCACCATCCCGCCGCCTCAATTGGGGA